GGGGGGGGGGGGGGGGCGCCGTCAGCAGCTGGGGTTGACCACGATCAGGCCCCGCAGCTTGTGCTGGCGCAGCTTGACCCCCGCCATCGTCAGCAGCCGCCGCGACGCCACATAGCCCGCGTCGGGCGCCCCAACCGCCACGTGCGCCGCGGCGGCCCCGCCGCCGCCGCCGCCGCCGCCACCGCTGCTGCTGCTGCGCCTGCCGCTGTTGGCGCCGTTGCCGCCGCCGCCGCCACCGCCGAGCGTGGGGAATGCAAACGCCTCCTCTTCCAGGGCCTCGTCCCCGCCGTGGGCCCCAGCCGCGCGGCGGGCGGCCCCCGCCGCCGCAGCGGCGTCGCCGCCCGCGGGGCCGCCGCTGCCATCGCCGCTGCCATCGCCGCTGCTGCTGTCGCTGCAGCCGTCGCCGTTGAGGGGCGCGGTGAGGGCGGGGTGGTGCTTCACTGACTCAACCTTGGACTGGGGGTGGTGGTAAGCAGGGGTAGGGGCAGGAGCAGGGGCAACATGGATGAGAGGGGTTGGGAGCACGGAGGGCGGCAAGCAGCGTGGCGTTGCATCGAGCCCAGGGCCTCCGTGTGATGTTGCTGGTGTGGTCGGGACGTGTTACCGTGTTCACAGGGCCTCGCCCACCGATTCCTACCACCCCGTGGCCACAGCAGCGGCAGCAGCAGCGGCAGCAGCAGCGGCAGCAGCAGCAGCAGCAGCAGCAGCAGCAGCAGCAGCAGCAGCAGCGGCAGCAGCAGCAACAGCAGCGGCGGCGGCGGCGGCAGCAGCAGCAGCAGCACCGGCGGCGACAGTGATGTCCCCGCCCTTGCCAAAGGCGGCACGTGACCCCGTCTTCCGGGTCTGTCGCCGTCCAGGAGCAGCGGGCCGGCTGTTGGTGCACGCCCTCACCTCGTGATACACGACCTCCTGAATGCCCGCCTGGATCAGCAGCTTGGCGCACTCATTGCAGGGGAACATCGTCACAAACACGCGCTGGGGTGGGTGGGTGCGGGGGTCGGGGTGTGTGGGGC